CTGTGCTTCTTTCATCTTAGCTCCGACGAGCCTCAAAGCACATCAATCCTCTGACATGACATCTTTAAACAGTTCAAACATAGCCGAACCGGACCGTTTTTTATGGTCGTATCCATCTTCCGACTTTCGCATCTAGTGCACGGCCATTTTCCAAAGCACATATGCGCATTACATTTCCCCGGGCCCCGCTGAACAAAAAAAAATTTGTTCTTGTGTTCAGATTAAAATTGTTGGTTGAACAACGCTGCACTATCTATGAAGCACAGCGGTATTACTCTTTTCCACACCGACAGAAGAAAAAAAAATTTTAAAGCCCTCTCACGCAATATTGGCCAGATGCTATTAATTGTAGGCAGGAAGATCGATCCTTCCCCAAGATCACCAACCCCGGTTACCCTTCAAACAAAGAGGTAAGTTACATTAAAAAAGGGGGGCGCTCGCTCGAAAGTGAGGGCTGAAAGACGGTTTCACCGAGTGAATCCCCAAATTCTTTTCCCGCGTCGAATCAGAGCCCGAGCCGGGTGGCCCTGTGCAGCAAATTTTCCAGACAAAAATATCAATAATAAAAGAAAATACACACATATATTATTTTTTTCAAAAAAAAAGAGGGCTTTCATCGGGATATGCCATTCGTCTTGCAGAATACGATCTGGCCCTTTCGGGGGGTACATACTTACAGGACTTCTGTCATCAACTCAGATCCTTCTTTTGACGAGCGGAACTTCTTTTATGCGCAGTAGCATCGGGGTAAAAAGGCCCAAGATAGTTCGTTTCGCTTGGTTTGGGGGCTGCAGCGGACGGTCTGATTCCGTCTTTTCACCGATGGCACACGACAGCGAAAGCTACTGCCATCTGAATGTAACATTTCGACTGAACTTTCCAGTTATCTATCACTTAGGATACGAGGCTATCGATTGAACGCCACCACCATTACGCAATTAGGTCGGCGTATTCCATCAACGTTTGACAGATCTATTTCATTCAGGTCATTCTCGCCCAAAGCCGAACGCTACACTCAAATTCATCTACAAACTAATAATCTATTCCAAAAAAAAAATTCTGACAGATCCGGTTACCTACCAGGAAAAACTTTTGCTACTATATGTCAGATTTCCCGTGGGGTGGCGTTACAACGGATATAGTACATGTACAGAAGAGTCTTACACACACAGAGAGAGCCCTGCATTCGAATACAAGCTTTTAGCCGACACCCTGGCTCCATCCAACTTTTAGATCGATGCAGATGATCAGGGGCTTCGAAGTCAAGCTTTTGCCTCTTGCCATGTGTCTGACCTTGGGTTGCAATTGTTCAAAAGTTAAAGAGCGGGTAAAGGGAGAAGGAGAAAAAAAAACACATTTCCTTCACATTCGCTCTGAAGAGGCTCGCGCCTACGATCTTACTAACACGGAACCCTAAAACATGAATTAATCATACACAGAGCGAAGCTGGGGTCAATTTCGAAAAACGTTTAACTTTGGAAACTTGGGCTGCAAGACATCAATTGCAATCTGGTAGCCCGGTAAGACGATACGCTATATATTATCGGTCTCGCCGCATCTATCAAGTCCAAATTTCAGATTATATTTGAGGGACATGCGGCCAATAAGCATTCAATTAAAAAGAGAAACCTCTACAGCTAGCCCTTAAACTATGGATTTCTAGATTACTAACCCCGCCAATTTATCAGCTAACTAACTTAGGAAGCCAAAAGGTTTTTCGATTCGCTGTCCCCGAAAGATATTCGCTATGGAAGCTCGCCTGAGCCAATGGGAATCGTACCTGACTAATGATACAACAAAGCCACAACGCGCGATGCAGGCACAGCCCTTCGTTGTGTATCTGTATCATATCAAGCATGTGTGTGTGTGTGTGCATTTGCCAATCAATTTATTCAAAAGAAAATTTAACAAAAAAACCATTTTTTACGGTTCTCTCTGTTCTCACACAATCGCGCCTCGCCGTAAGACCATGTAGCCATTGAAGATATAGGAGTGGTGCCATGTAAAGCGATTCTTCTCGAGTAGAATATGTATGTCTCGTAATATATATACCATATGATCTCGGCGAGCAAAGACGAAGCGAATAGATTCGCCTAGTGCGCGATACTGCTCGCCACGTATACACGTATGGCCCTTACATACATATCGGTAGCCGGGAACTATATAAGCCCTAAATAAGGTCCTGGTTTATAAGGCCGAACGAACCTAGTTAGCTCCCCTACGCTGGGAGAGGAAGGTTCTCGCACGACATCCAATGCCCCTTTCTGTCGATAGTAATCACCTAATAGCTATCATATTCGCCCTCCCTCTCTCCACCCCTCAAACAGCTATTTGATACAATACCGCGGTTTGTGGGTATTAGGGCTGCATGCGAGTTGGGTGCGAAAACTACGGACTTCGCTATGGATACGGCTACTATATGAATTTTAACATCCTGCCCCTTAACTGTACATAAAAAAACGATAAATTGAGAAAACAGAAGATAAATAGCAGGTTTTCTGTCGTTCGTCGACAGCGTCGAGTGTAACATGTTTTTTCAGGAGGCTTACTTTTGTTAAATTTTTGATTTGACCAAGGTTGTTTTCGTATGAGCAGCATCAATCATCGAACCGTGTAGTGCAGTTACCATAGGCCTAGCCCGACGTCGCCAAGTTTGATCAAGGATAAGGATTATCGTTGAAGGCCGTTGATCCGTAGGCCCATCCCGAGGCTCATGCATGACCGGGCTCCGTTTTCCTATCGGTGTGTTCTCAGAAATCATGTATTTCAATATTTGAATTGCTTCCAGCGCTAGGGAGCGTGGGGTTGCAACAACCAAGTAGCTTCTTTGAAAGCTTGGGCGGCCAATATTGCAATAATGCAATGCATTTACTCGACAGAATCCGGAAATAGTTCAAGGATATAACAGCTGTGGCCATGGCTGCGTTGTAACAACGGAAATACGTTTCGCCGCGCTGATTGGCTCCAAATGATAAATATTTTGCCGACCTATCTTCAATTCTAGAGCTTTCGGTATAGATTAGTTGATGAAGCTAGGTAGCTCCCAGGGAAAAAACCGATGCTATAGCCAGCAAGGGCAAGCCTACCAATACACCCTTTGGAACTGAGCATCGTCCGCCAATTCTATGGATATTATTTACTATGACTAGTGGTTTTGAGTTTTTTAAAGTTAAGAGGCAGAGAGAGAGATAAAGATGATAACGAGATAACGAGTGTACTTCTATTCTACTCTAGTTGATCGTTCTATGAATCAAACAGAATCGCTGCGCCCCGAACACAAAAACCTATCAGCTACCCCGCTATTGATACCCTTTCTAACCATATCTTACTCTATTGGTTTCTACCCGTGAACACCGTAGAACCCTACCAGCTGTACCCTTCTGTCCCATTAGAGAGAGAGAGATAATTCTATCCCAACAAATCACCCAAGCAGTCCAAATATACATCAGGACCCTCCCCGACTTCACCAGCTTTCAGAATATCAGCTTCCGTGCTAACACCCGTCAAGACAGCAAGAGTACCCTTCAACCCGGCCCTAAGACCGAATTGAATATCAGTATTCAGCCTGTCTCCGACCATACACGCCTTACTCTTGTCAAGCGAGTATTTACTCTCAATACTATCCATCATCGCCATGCTCGGTTTTCCAAAAGCGATGGGTGTACGACCCGTCATAAGGGTCAACGGAGCAGCGCAGGTGCCAGCACCCGGCAACAGTTTTCCATGCGTGGGGAACGTAGAATCGATATTTGTGGCGAAGAAGTGAACGTTGGGATCTTGGAGGTATCCGCCTGCGATCGCGAACTTTGCGTAACTGATTTTACGGTCTAGACCGGTGACCACAGCCCACACCGAAGGGTCTGGACCAACATGCTCTGCGACGTCGTCTTCGGGGAAAGGAAGCGGTGCTGACCCTCCGAAATATGAGATTCCTTCGGCGGCGAGTTCGTGTTCGATACCTTGTTCTCCGATGACGAAGACACGTTTGTCCTTAGGTATCTTGTAAACACGGGATATCGCAATCGCAGTAGAATAAGAAGATCCAAAGACCTCTTCGACTTCCACTGGGATGCCAAAGTCTGCGAATTTCTTGCTGTACGCCTCTCGGGATTTTGAGGAATTGTTGGTTACGAAGATAAGCTTCTTGCCTGTGGCGGTGGTAGTAATAGCAATAGTAATTCGTATAAGCATCTATTCAACCGAAGTGTGTGTGTGAGTCACTGAGCGATTTTGAACACTTCTTACCCTTGTTCCGAAGCATTTCTAAGGTCTCTACGACTTTCGGGAGAAGAACGTTTCCTTGCCATAGGACACCATCGCAGTCGAATAGGAAGTACTACAGTGCTCAGAGCCTTTAGTCAATCGGATCCGTCGGATTGAATGTTCGTATGGCGCAAAGAGAGCTTACTTCAAACTGATCGATGAATGCATCGAGTTCCTGCTTCTTGCCGGTAAGTTTGCGCGGGGCGCCGCGGGGTGGAGTGTTCACTTCAGAACCCATGACTACACACTAGCGGAGATAGAGTGAATGATCGAAAGTGCTAGGCCTGGGATTACAGCGACTCTGCAGAGTTTCGTGGGGATTTAAAGAAGGGCCAGGGCGCTCTAGCAGCTGTTTTAAATGCGCAGACCGGCAGATTGTTATTGGAGGGATAATTTGGTGTTGAAGGTGTTGGGAATCCGCAGCGTTGTCGGAGCAGCTGGGAGAAAAACCTTATATAAGCTTGCCTCCCCGGAAGGCTAGGGAGCTCAAGCTCGACAGGTTTTCTATATTGGCGCGGACACCGTGACGGGGATTTTAGAGCAGCGGGGATTATATAACTTTACTTCAATTTTCTCTTTTCACATTTCCAGGCCATAGGAACCTTGAATTTCGAGATAGCCAAATTATATGTATATACATATGACACATACACAAATTGGTGGCCCATGAATCCTATTCTTGGCATAAATTCGGAAAGTGCGTTATAAACCCAAATTTCAAAATCCAAGATAAGATTGGGATTGTAGTTCAGGGGTAGAACGTTTCTTTCGCACTCCCAAAATCCTCCTGAGGGAGGATTTGAGTCGAAACTTCTGGGTCTAGAAAAGGTCCCCGGTTCAAATCCGGGCAATTCCACTTCTTCAATCTTTTTTTTTTCTTCCTGTTTTTTTATTTTTGGATTCTTTTGTTATTTTGTGTCTCATCGTTTGCGTGATCTTTTTTTAGACGTCGACGAACAGACCAGTACTGGTGACGTCTTTTTGCGTTGGTCGTGTTGGATAGTAGGTCGCTCGGCGGTAGTAGATATATCGATATGGAGATGCTGTATACTTCGACTTCACTGTTAGGGCTAAGATTCATACTTATGATTGGCTATTATTTAGGCGAGAGACTAGCTTCTATCCTCTCAAAACTTGAAATCACGGGCTATCCTAGTCTTGTAATATGGGCTACCCGTGTCAACTGTCAGTCCAGGTGTATCACTATAAACCATTATTGCATACCTCTATTAGTACTATCCATTGATATATAATACTACGAGGCTGGGGGTCTATACACCCAGGTAGCCTCGCAGCACAGGTCTGTATTTTACAACGCCTGGCTAGTAGCTACAAACCACAATTCCAGATCATAAAAGTATTACACGTTATAAGACCGCCCTCCGGTTCCACTTCGTAGTAACCGGTAAATGACTGCTCTTGTAGCAAAACCCTCTAACTATCAATATCATCCACCTGCCTCTTCAGCCAATATACATCCCCTTCCTTAATATAAATAGACCACCCCATAGCCTCCATCATCTCTACATCAACATTCCCTCTCACAACCTCTAACCCTTCATTCCTCTGAATTAACCTATAAACCCACTCCTCATGCCCACAATACCCATTAAACCTAAACCTCTTCAACCCAGACACCCTCACATCTCTCAAATCCAACTTCCACCCATCACTGTTACCCCAGCACCCGTAATCCTTGTCAAAATACCTAATCGTCAAATCCTCCACGCCGACCAACGGCTGCTCCGCAAATCTCCTATACCAAACATCGGTAAACGGACCGATGTAGACCAGCTTCTTAACATTCTTCGGCGGTATAACAAACCACGAATTGTGGAAGATAACACCATAAAGAACCAACGTTTCCAACTTTTCCAATCCCAAAATCGCACCCTGAAGCCTCATCAACACTTTTCCAAACTCTTCAATCTCAACATAGTTATACTGCGGATTGAACCCCCGGTTGTTTAACACACTCCCAAGTCTTAAAAATTTAAGTTGGAGTGTCTTTGATAACGTATTAAGCAAATACCGTGCTTCAAATATCGCATTCCCCGTATGATTAACTGGTTCCTTGATATGCGTGCCCTTCCGGACGTTTCTGAGACTTAGTTGGAGATCTAGATGGGTTAGAACCTCGGGGTTTATGTGCGACACTAGAGTGTGAGATGGCTGCAATACCCTGTAGGATGAGCTGGTGATGAGCTTTAGACCGACAGAAACCTGGGTATTAGGCGATTTGGATCGTCTTTTTAGGGCGTCTATGAGAGGCTTGAGGTTTTGTGCAACTGTTTTTGTGTGATTTTTTAAACGTTATTATATATTTATATCAGCTACAATCTTTCTCTGCAATAAATAAATAAAATAAGATAAAATAAAAATAAAACGAATAGACAGAAAAGATGATGGGAACGGCGTATATAGATATAAAACTCACCAACCTCCCCTAAAACACCTCCATCCGGACAAACGAAAAACGCGTCCGCAAACCGCGGCATCCCCCCGTCATCAATTACCTGCGCCAAAGTAGAACACAACCGCAGGAGCATCGACCCTTCATAACCAACCGCATTAATTGAATTCGAAAAGCTATCAATAAACAGCGTTCTCGTCAACTCCGACCCAGGAAACGATGATGATGGGGTATACACCTCATCCTCAACTTTTCCACGATGAATTATTCTATCCAACAAACACCAACCGTTTTCGGGTAGGATCCGGATATGGAGATTCAGTGGTCTTCCACATATCTGGGGCGGTTCGAGCTTTGCCCCCATTTTGAGGTATGTGTTGGCGCCGAAGTGTAGTCTTGAGTAGAGTTGTTCGTAAGCGATTGATGATAAGGATTTATTGGTTCGGAGGAGGGAGAAGAGGTCACTCGGACCCAGATAGGAGATGATTAGGATTCGGATTTCGGCGGGGATGCATGATAGGTTTTTGGGTTCTGTAGACATCTTTTTTCTTTTTTTTTTTGATATCTTGTGTCTCCGGTGAAGTTGGAAGGCAGGTCTACGAGACGAACCTTGTGTCAAGATATCAATCTGTTTAGATTTGTGTGTATATGGTCTCGATGGGTGTATATAGGTAGGTTTGTATTGGTCTAGGGCGTAGATCGCGTTGTACATTTACCAAGCATAAGTACATATTAGTCTCGTAGTAGGTACATATAAGGTATGATAGTTGACCCAGGCTCAGTCTCGTAACCAGGGTAGCGTTACGAGAATGGTAGTAGCTGTAGACGACCAACAACGCAAATACCCACGCCACTACTCCCATTTTCCAACAAGCTAGCCGCAACGAGCGTCGATTACATAGCCAGGGATGACATATCTCTTACTGTATAGGTACCTACCTAAGGACTATCTACGCACGACTATAAATTCAGCAAAGAAAAGGGACCCCCCAGACATAAATATCTAACAAAAAAAAAATATAAAAAAAATGCTGCTATAACACAACCGCACAAATGCTCCTTCGTATCCCCTACACAACCCCCCTCCCCTCCCTCCCCGCAATCCCCACAACCGCCACCACCCTCCCAACCGCCATAACCGCCGTTTCAAACTTCCTCCTCAACACCCGATCAACCCTAATCCTCTCGGGAGCCGGAATATCCGTAGCATCAGGATTACCAGATTACAGAGGTGCGAGGGGCACGTATACGTTGAATAAAGAGTACAGACCTATCTTTTATGGGGATTTTGTGCATAAGGATGGGATGAGGCGGAGGTATTGGGCGCGTAGCTTTCTGGGATGGAAGGGGGTTGAGAAGGTTAGGCCTAATAAGACGCATACGGCGGTTGGGAGGCTGTGGGAGGGGGGGTGGATTGGTGGGGCTATTACGCAGAGTATGTTTTCCCCACTCCTTCTTTTTATTACTTAGCCCTATTTTATGCATTTTTTATATACATATATACCTAGGTATGTGAGTACTTAAGTATTAAGGTTGATGGGGAATATAATAGACGTGGACTCCCTCCACACAGCCTCCCACCCTTCAATGCCAATCACAAACCTCCACGGCCTGCTCTCCACAATCCTCTGTCTAACCTGCAAAACCCACTCTCCGCGTTCTCCCTTCCAACAAGAACTCCACAGGCTAAACCCAACCTGGTCAACCTTCCTCGAAGAGATGCGCTCAACCCCAGACTTCCCCATAAAAAGAGGTCCAGACGGCGACATCGAAGTCCCCGGGGTTAAATACGAAAGTTTTAGATATCCGCCTTGTCAGAAGTGTTTGAAGAACTCAGCGTTTAGAGGGGAGATTAGAGTTGACAAGGATGGGGCTATGGAGAGGATCGAAGGGGACGGGAATATTCCCGGAGTTGTGAAGCCGACTTTAGTGTTTTTTGGAGAGAACCTTAGGGATGAGGTTAAGAGGGAAGCTGAGGCGAAAGTTAACGCTGCAGATTCAGTATTAGTCATTGGGAGCAGTTTAGCGACTTATTCTGCTTGGAGACTTGTGAAACTGGCGAAGGATCAGGGGAAGAAGATTGGTATAATTAACTTGGGAGGCGTAAGAGGCGAGGACGCCTTTTGGGACGATGGGGAAGGGAAAGTGGCAGCAAGGTATAGGCTTGGGGATGGCACAGATGGGGTAAGGGTAGAATTCGATGCTGGTGATGTTTTAGAAGGGGCATTAGAGATCCTTGAGCGAGTCGACGGCCAGAGAACGACCCGGAGAGTACCCGTTAGTAGCTCGGGATTAGATCGTCAGGATATCGAGCTCAGAGAAATTGAAATGTATGCCCCTTAACGAATATTCTTGGAGATATAGCCTACTGATTCTCCACAGGGCAGCCACGAGGTGAATTATACCAAAGCACGAACGATAAACACACAGTTATATGTATACAAGGCGCACTAGTATGTAGTATATTATGTATAGAATGTATTATTGTAGAGTCTAGAAAACGTCCCAGTGAATGAAGCTGGGAGTAAATTGAAACAGCACGCCGCAGAAAGTAACACACGTTATAATGCTAGTCTGTTAATAGTTTAAGCAAAGAAACAAACAAGGGACATTAGTCTGCACGAGCCAGCTCACAAACAGGGTAAACGAAGTGTCAATCCGGGTAGTATTCATTTATTTGGTAAAGGCGATCAATCTGCTAGAGTTCGGAAAAGAAAAAGGGAAAAGACGTGCAAAATTTCGAAAGAAAAGAAAGAAACCGATCAAGAAAATCAACGGTACGCCTGTTGTCCCTCCTCTTTCAGGCTCCTCGAACGCCAAAGGTCAGGCCAAAAAAATCAAATCGAATCAAATCAAGCAAGACATGACATGACGAATAATATCTGAATCCGGGTCGCAAAACCATGGCAACCAAGCGTTGAAACTGGGGTCGAATGAAAGCGCAAGGAGGTAAGATGGTAAAGCTGTTTAATAAACCTCCTTCGCCATACCTCCCCGTTCAACAGCCATCCAATTCTCGTCGTCGGGGCGGTCGTGTTCGGAAAGTTCTGACCAACGGTCACTTTCCTCAGCTTCCGTCTCAGAAGGGGCACTGATGGTACCAAAATCTTCAGCCATACTATCGCCCATTCCGGTAGAAATATATGACTGGGAGATATCAGATTGGCTGATACTGAGCCCACCAGCGGCCGATCCCTTCTCTTGATGCGGATGGCTCCCCGATGATTGGAGAGCATAAGCAGGAAGATTGATCGCAGATCCTTTCTTTGGCGTCGCTGGTTCCAAGACTGGGGAGGATGGAATGGAAGCCGAGTCCAAATCATCATTGACAAGGACTGTATCATCTGCACCATCCATTTGCAAGATCTTCGAAATCTTGACCTTCTCCGATTTTTCGCCACGAGCTCCTCGAATCGTCTTCTTCCCATCAGTAACATACTTAT